ACTTTCCATAAATCGAGAGATGCCTGCATGAGTTCGAGTGGAGAGCTTTAATTAGCGTTATATACTTTCTCGGTAATCCTTTCACAGTCACCTCATAATCTACAGAGTCAAATGAAGCCATCAGGTCAAGAAATATAGTAAGTGTCGGTCATTAGTCGGTAGGTATATCCGTGTTCTAGAACATATCGGAGGGTAAAAATATGATCGATGCAACCTCGTCCAGCCCTGCCTGAAACCTGCCTAACTTTTTCGAGTTTGCTGTTCCCGAGCTCCAGTTGGGCGTCGGATAACTTCGGACCCTGGGATACAAACAATATTAGTCAAACTAATTCTCATATGGTTATCGTAAGATCTTTCTCCCTTTTATAGACAGGGATGACCAGTGAAGTACACCAGTCTGATGGCACTACCACTGATTCCTATAGATTACCTAGTACCCCGTCAAACTAACCAGCAATTTTTTACCTTCATCCTTGAGATCTTCAGGTGGCAAGCTGCCAGGTCCCGCTGCTTTGTACCGTTTCAGGTTCGATACAGGTTTCTCAACTTGAAGGAGAGTTAGACGACTGATATCCACACCCCATTCACGTTTAGGCTGACTGATGTTGGGTAAATGAAGCGCTGATGAGAGCCGGTTGGACTGTGCTTCATAACGTTCTGCCCAACGCTCTAGCAGCTTGTCCTGGGAGGTTATCAGCGTCCCATCATTTTCAGTGATGGTTTCACCTACCATCTTCTTTCTCGAGCCAGTATCCCTAATAAGCCCAAGTAGTTGTTGAGTGCAACCAACCACTGATGCCTCCCTCCATCTCTCTTGCCTTTGCAACCCACCACTGCTTGCGATTGACGTGAAGACTCTTGATCGACTTACGTTTAGGTTGCTTTCGCTCTTCGTTTTACTCACGGCCAGCTGGAATCAGTCTTCTCCCATCTATCAGTTCATGTGATGTCATGGAAATCCAATGATGTTTTCTAACCTTCAAGTGTAGGCTACCAAAATGTGTGTACACCACTGTATCTACTGAATTTCACGCCACGTTTCCTCAGGATAAGCATCCTTTTCATGTCCAGACAAATACCTAGCTAACTCCTCTCTAAGTGCGTACTTAGCGTCCTCATCTTCCAACAGAGCACAGATGGATCTCACTGACTTCTGTTTTCTACGGCCAACAAGGTGTAGATATACAAAAGCTTTTACTAAAGCGTGATCGGAGTCTAAACTAGTACACCAGAAAGGGCGGCAATTTCCCCACCGATCCTCTACAACGACATCTTACAGTAATATGATCTATCTGTGTCTATCGTTGGTTTGAACACCATGTGAGGCAGTGTGTCTCTTCATGCTTAAAGTTAGTACTGGCCAAAAACAAGTGATTTTGGGAACAAAATTGATAGAGATGATCACCGTTGTCGGTTTGTTGGCACGGGATTTCGTAAATGCATCTAAGATGCCTTTCCGACTGGCTCAGGTCCAACAACAATAATTAATGTCTTCAATTCATAACGAACAAAAAAGCAGTCTTATACCCATCTAGTGGTAGGAATTTATTAGTTGATTTATTTACTAATCAGTCTATTTTGTCCTTGATTGAATATTGGTTGTCTGGCACACAGTTTAGAGTTATACTACTTCAGTCATACTTTTTGTAGATAAAGGTTCGTTTCTGTCGTTTATGGGTAATAAGTTCAGGTCTAAGTGTGAACACCATCACCAGCTGCCATGCCGGCACATCCGGCTGACAGTCTCAATAGAACGAAACGCGAGTCTTCATTCCACGGCTAGCCAGCACCAACTTAACTGCAACAGATGTTCGTTTTATTTCACTAAAGTTCTTTTCGTCAGTACTATGCAATATATTCTCACGTAGTCAGTTGGGCTTTCGAGGAATTCAGAATTCATTTGCTGTGAGTTGACTGTAACAAGTCAACTAAAGTATCGAGTACAACCACTTTACCAAAAAAGAATATCATTATAAATAATCTAGCGTCTTCAGTTATTGAGTTCCACCATTTCATGAGGCTTGATACAGACACTTGATATTGTTATCCACTTAACTCAGAAGCGAAAATGTAGCTCCACTTCAGCTTTGATCAATTTTCTTCCATCAAAGAAGACATTTTACACTGACGTAGAATATGACTAATCATCCACTTGTTGTTTCGAAGTCATAATTCGAAAGCATTAGTAAATATAGTCATCGATCAATAGATAGGCAACTACATAAATCAAAGCAGAACATGGCACACATGTCTATCACTTCAACTTTCCGCATATCACACCATTATAGTGAGAGAAGGTGGATAGAAAACGAATGACATTGAAGTATGAAAAACACATGAGAGGAGATTGAATGAATAGATGAAGGTTCATAAATGTGTTAGTTGGTTGGAGGCAATCGGCTATATCGCCCAGTTAAACAGCAAAACACGGGGACATAATGACTCCGAACTACGCTCCAAACCAGGAAGACGGTGACTAGGTATGCGCATGACATATGCCTCAGATACCTGAGGCATACCCGAAACTGTACACATGACTTGTGTGTTACTGATATGGTCGTTCCACAACATACGACCTTGATACTGTAATGAAGGCAAAGATCATCGAACAACTGGAACCCACTCATTTTCTCCACCTATAATGGTCATGTTTCACAGACATATAGTGGAACAAATCGAGCTATTGCCTAGTACACTGAATTCTTAGCAGGCGATCGGATATCATACCGGTATCATAGATGACTTGAGTTGGCAAAAGCCAATCAACTAATTCTCTACAAATAAACCGAACAAAATTCTACTAAAACTTCGTTCCGGTGAATCTTTTACAAACTGTGGAGTTTTGAAGAATGATGTGGTAATTCTAATCAAATACCTAAAGAAGCATCATAGACACAGAGTGACAAGGATTTTTGTCAGCAACAACCGTCATATATACTATTACTATACACTCTACTTTTACCAAAAAGGAGAACAAACGAAACAATAGGCTGAACACTTCAAAAAACTCTCCAATCGACCACCACCACCTGCAACTCGTCCAGAAATATCACTAGCAACTGCTGAACTACCAGTGAACACAGGCCCCCCACAAAAACAGAAATCCGGAATGCCATAAAGCTGCTGAAATCCCGCAAAGCAGAAGCACCAGATGGAATTCTGCCTGAAGCACTGAAAACAGACGCAGAGACAACAGCCGACATGCTCACACCACTAATGCAGAAGGTTTGAAAGGAAGGGACAATACCTTCCGATTGGAAGAAAAGCTACCTGGTCAAACTTCCAAAGGAGGGAGACCTACGTCTTTGCAAGAACTGGCGAGGAATCATGCTCATGTCAACCCAGAGAAAGCAAAATATTAAGCCGCATCATCCTGGAGAGAGTAAGAGATGCGCTGGATTCAAAATTACCACCGGAACAGGCTGGCTGGATTCAGGAAGTACAAATCATGTGCTGACCAAATTGCAACACTACGCGTCATCATAGAACAGAGTATAGAATGGCAGTCAACCCTCTACCTTACCTCAATCAACTTCATCAACTTTGAAAAGGCCTTCGACACAGTCGACCGAGAAGTAATTTGACAACTGCTTCAACAATACGGCTTTAGTGCCACCAACCTTTATCAATCTCACTCAACAACTATACGAAGACGCCTCATGTCAAGTGATTCAAAAGATGGGAATCTCAGTGACGTCTTCGAAGTGAAGATAGGAGTAAGGCGACAAGACTGCCTACTATCTATCACTCATTATCTTGCTGATTGTGGTGGACTGGATCATGCAGCAAACAGTGAGGAGGGAGAAGATGGGTATACGCTGGCTGGACCGATGGAAAGACCCCAGGAGGAGATTTCGATTTCGCTGCCGATGATGATTTATGTCTTATATGTTGTCGCAGAAACACGAAGATCTACAGGCACAAACTAACAAGTTAGTTGACAGAAGAGGCAGGGCAGCGAAGGAAGACGGGACTTCAAGTGAACGTAGAGAAGACAGAGGTGATGAAGATACCCAACCAACAACAACAACAATGACAAGAACAAGCAGCAATCACCCAACAAACATGCAGAAGAAAGTGGAGATGGATTGGATATACACTGAGAAGGCCGATTGGGGACATCATGCGCGAGGCCAGGTCGTCAAGAGGAACCTAAAAGGGAAACGATGAGTCGGGTGTCCGAGGCGAGGGTGATATGGAGGAGATCATGTGAGGAAGAAATGAGAGCTTGTGGGCAGTCGTGTAGCCAGGTCCAAAAGGCTGCAGAGAAGAGAGTGGAATGGAGGCGTGCTACTGAAGCCCTATGTTCCATTAGGAACCCAAGGGAAAAATAATGTAATAAGTAATAATATGCTATTTTGCTTTCAATGGCCAAGGCCATCTAAGGATATATAAACGACTGAGTTTTCTGCTGTTATCATTCGATTCGAGCTAATATACTTTCAATCCCATCATGTCAGCTGAATATCGAATGCAGAAGTCATTGTTCTATCTTTAATCGGATCGCGTTGGAGCATTAAGTCGTTGTATGTACTGTGGATCACAACATTGGTGATGGAAGTGGGATATTGGGAAATAGACTCTTCGAAGTTGGGCATATTCCTCGAACAAAAAATGAGGATTATTGGGATTCTTACCCTAGGGAAAAATAACATTATAATAATAAACTCTACTTGCTGAAGAGTAATGGTCACGATACAAGTAAATTGATAATAATATCGATGACAGTGGAGCTGTGGTCCATTGGTTTAGGGAAATAACTTTCAACCAGTGGGTCACTGGCCCGAGTCCCGTTCCACCTATTTACTGCTGTGTGCATTTCAGTTTGAAATGAATTACCGAGATGCTGAATGATACATCCTACTGATGACTGCCAGTACATACGAAATTTAAATTAAAGGACAACTACGTACTGTTTTGGGGATTTTGAAAGAATAAGAGAAAATAAACACTAATTAACCTGGTATAATAATTTCAAACCAAATGAGGAAAACACTCACCAGCAACGTAGTCAAACAAAGCCACCGCTGTGTACACTTCTGGAGCTTGTTCACAAGTTACAACATTAGTGTCCGACTATGAAAGAAGAAAAAAACATTCAGTAAGAAGAGCCATCGCCAAATGTTACCACATCATAAAACAGAATGCAAGTAATGTTGAAAATGACAGTGAGTTTCAGGCAACTTATATTCCTAACGGGCATAATACGTAGGCTTAACTTACAGCTAACCTTGTACGGCAAAGCTACTGACTGCAACCCGGGCAGAAGACCGAAGCTGGATTGAAGAGTTTATTCCCCCCTCCGACTATAAAAATCAATTACTTAATTCAAAAACACGTCAATGTGAACACACATGACATATGACCTTGACCGCAAATTGAGACATTCACACAGTAAGAGTAAGGATTAGCCAATCAGCGAATTACATTACAAATAGGGGCAGAAAATCAACTACTAGTCATGCTGTCAAAATTGTGAAAATGACAGTTTAAAAAAAAATGCTCAAGTCAATAATAATGGTTATGCAAGACTGGGACCTTACAATACACACACGCACACACAGCCTCGTGAAAACATCTAGTGTCTTAGGTGTTGTAAAAGTCATGGGTACTTCATTATAGTAATCAATCAAGGTGGGGAGCTTCGTGAAAACTGAAGCCAACGGTTGAAGACTCTATGTGGCACAGTTTAGGATAGAGACCACGGTGATATACAAATGCGTTCACATCTTACCTAGGCATTATTTATCACATCGGATCTCATTCTTTGCTTTAATCCGCTTTCATATTTTATCATAGTCTTTGTTGCAGCCTTAGATCGGATGATTTTCTCCCCTTTGTCTTTCATCCTATTGTCCTATCTTAATGTGAGGTTTGATTACATAAACGATTGCACAGTAATGACAAGGTGTATGTTAAATATTGACCAGTTGATGCTGATTTTATCAGCTTGACTACTTGAGATAGCCACAGTTTGGCAAACTTGTATTATTGATACTGAGCTCAAACCAACAGTCAGAGACTTCATACATTGGTGCTATGTTTTAGTCTGGCCACCTCAGGCTTTTTTCCAGCCTGGGCCTACTTCGGCCAACATTGTGTAACAAGGCAATTGGTGACTAGGCATACGTAGTACGTGTCCCAATCATCTTAGTCGATGAAGGTTCATAACCGTGTCAACTGATTTACCTCTACTCCCTAAAACTCTACATCTGACTTCTGCATTACTCACGTGTTGACACCACGGAATACGGCCTATAACTACGAAGGCAACGGTGGTCAAACACTTGAAGCCTTCTCATATCTTCCACCTTCAATGGCCATGTTTCACAGTCATACAGCAGAACAGACCGGATTGCTGTGCAGTACACGCGGAATCTGGGTCACAATAGGATTCAAACCAGTCGGTAACTTAGGTTACCCGCCCGATGCTCTACCAACTGAGCTATGGGCTTTGTTAAATAAACTGATTTAATATGAAAAGTCTAAGAGTGGTCAGGAAAAGATATGGCATTAATTCATAGAGACTCCGGTTGTTGACCTAAGTATTCCACGGAAGTGTTGATGCCCTGTCTATGATGTTCGAATTGACTGGAATCAGTGGTTACAGACTCTTGGTTATATGGCTGAAAATCGGTCGCTTTCAAATTCTCAGATATCTTCGTTAGCTTTCATCTATTTGTTCTTTCCTTTGTCGTCAAACCTTTTCTACCTTAATATCATTTGTTCTATTCACTTCTTCTATACTTACTACTGTAAAGTGTAATGATTTGAAGTAACTTACTTCCGTGCGAGGTTGTATGTTGATTCTGTTTGTTTCTCTGTCTACTGTTAGGTTTTGGCGGATGACAGAACAAGAATATCTTTTTTTCGTTCTTGGCTTACAAACGTTTACTGAAGCAAACTTGTGGGATCATTCAGGTTTGAGGTGATGAATATATATAATACAATTACTGATGACGTCGGATTGTAATAACCTGATATCACCAACTGAAAGTTGTTAGGGAGCAATAACCACTGGCTGAGTGCTAATATATTCACCACTAGATCTGACAGTGTTAGGTGAAAGCCGATGATACGTTCCCAGTTAGAAAGAAATAGATTTCTTGTGTTCCTTGTCTCTGGTGGTGTTATAGCTGATGTTAATCCATAGTGGAAGAACCTTGATACCGACCGATTCCCCTATGCAACTTCATCTTACATCACACCTTATTCAATGACCCAGAGAATGGCGGAAGCATAACTGATATAAAGAATAATACAGACTTGGTTAATGGTTGATATTATTCAGCTACCGTATAGTGCTGAACAGCCTGTGTTCACACCAACTAGTCAATTATTCTTCCATTGAAAACCACTGACAAACCTGAAGGTTGACTACAGATCATTCATTTACACGTTTTCAACTGTCAGCTAGACTAACCATACTTTGATATGGTGATGACTAGCAGCAAAGTCCAGGACTGTTGTTTATCCAATTTGGGAATCGTCACCTGGATGTGTCTACATCCCAGTCAATGATGGTGTTCCCATATAGACTCCAATCTCTTCAAATCTCATGGTGTTACCTCCCCCCTGACTTACATCTTGTACAACAATTACCGTTTGTTATTTATAGAGGCTTGTAATCTACCACTGGCTATTATACTATATCGAGATGAAAGGTCTCTATTGGCATATGGTACCAACGGCCCATAGGTCAGCTGCTGGGTGGTCCTACCAACTGAGCCACGAGACCTGACTGCCATATGAATTTGTGATGCCTTACTATCCATTTATTATGTTCACACTAGCTGCTCAGCTCAGTTGGTAACACAGAGATCGTTGATTCGAATCCCTCAGTGATCCAGATATTAACTTCACCTTCAATTATCACCCAGTATGAATCATACAAGTCTGCGAAACAATGACTATCTCACTCAGATAATCAAACTGATAATCAATATAATGCTCCCCCTCTCTAATTCAGGTTGCGTTTGGATGAGAAGTTTTAGCTGTCCAATCAGTATGAATACAATGAGTTCACAGTAATGCATTACGAATTCACATGAAAAATGGATAATTTACCAGAATAGCCTATATTTGATACTTACCTGATGATTATCAGAATTTCTTTGAAGATCTTCTGATGCATTAACATTACCACTTGATCTGTTGGATTCAATGAATGATGAGGTATTTGAGTATCTACTGTTCCACTACTTTGTTGAGCATTATCATATTTTGTTGTATCAATAATTGACTGAGAAGAGTAATGCAATAGATTCAAAGATTAAACAACTTATTATTCACAGTTAAAACAAAGTATGTAGTTACAACAAAAAGAATAAAAAGAAAACAAACCAAACTCATTTCCATAAGCATCGAAGTACAACTTGTATGAGTGCTTAGAATACTATTCAATATCAGAGAGTGGGATAGGTGGAGCTTTATGTGATGATTTTCAAAATTGCTATATGCTACAGCTGCTAACAAGCATGGATATCGACTGTCAGCACCAACATTCAACAAATTCCTAGTTGATCGACGTGTAGAAACGTGTATTAAGGTCAAAAGACCAAAAAACAAAGGAAAGTATATCTAATATATAGATTGTTAGCTGTTTAAAATATTACTGTTGATTAACTGATCCACCATCTGTCTGTCTAACTGAAGACGGGATAATATAAAGTACAGTTTGACTGGTCGCTCTCTAGACTAGGCTTTTCTCTCTATCCTCATATCATCTCCCTCTTCGAAAGAATGTTATTTGGGGTCAGATTAGACCGTACTGTCTTTTTTTCGCATCTATCTGACCGATGCAGACGGAATTTCTTTTGTTTAGTGGGGGTCAGTGGTCTCTCGATATCCTTTCGGTGGGCACGTGCATAAGCTGTTCAAGAATGAGATCTGCGGCGACATCTGGAGGATGACTTTGTACACGTCGTTGCGCGTTGGTGATAAAAACCGTCCTTATGGCCCGCAGCATTACAGTCCCGGCATCGATTTTATGTGGGTGGACAATATTTGACGAAATGACAGCAAGGTGATGGGGGTGCCCCTTCGAGGGTTGATTGGTATCGCATGAGTTACTGGGCCGATGAAGCAGAGAGATAAGGCTAGGGGTATGTGGTCAGAGGGTGATGCAGAGGAATCAGAAGTCCGCAGAACTGTATGTACTTCAGAACCACCTTGGCGTCTGGATTGGGCTAAACTTGTATCAAGCTACAGGTTGCTGAGTCGTAGATATTCTGCAGATGCCATCCAGTGTCTGTACTGTGGCGTAAGAGATGCGATCACGTAGGTTCTTAGGTGAAATCATGTTGCAGTATCGGTCGAGCTCAGGTGGACCAAGCTTTCGAAGTAGGAGACATACCTTCCAGGAATCATCTTGGCCAACAAAATCCACTTTGAAGTAGCCTTCGAAACGCCTGACCAAGCACCGAAAGTCTCATTGGCATGAGGATCGTAGCGAAATTCAGTAATTCTATTGGTGGTGCCGTCAACTGAAGGAGGTATTAAAACTGGCATACCAAGTGATAAGTCAGTACCAGAAATTTTGGATTACATGAGAATCCGATAATCCTCATTGGTCGTTCGAGGAATATGCCCAACTTCGAAGAGTCTATTTACCAATATCCCACTTCCATCACCAATGTTGTGATCCACAGTACATAAAACGACATAATGCTCCAACGCGATCCGATTAAAGATAGAACAATGACTTCTCCATTCGATATTCAGCTGACATGATGGGATTGAAAGTATATTAGCTCGAATCGCATGATAACAGCAGAAAACTCAGTCGTTTATATATCCTTAGATGGTCTTGGCCATTGAAAGCAAAATAGCGTATTAAAAGTGGAAAATGGACCAATCAGCGTTTAGTATCCTAAACTGCGGTAACATAGCATGGCGCGAAGATGTGGTTTAAATTTTACAGTGATAATATAAACACATTATAAATTGGTTTTTCTTGGGGATTAGGCATCTCTAGAACTTTGAACCTATTAAACTCTGATTGAAGATCAACTGTTTCCCACCAATGTGTCAAACCTCCAGAAAACAAAAAAAGTGGATGAAACTATATGTATACAGCTGAAATACAAAGCTGAAAAATTTATAATAGTACGTGTTCGTGAACAAGCTATTAATTTTGGTGAAAGTACTCATTGGTAACCAACCAATCAATAATTGAAGATGAAAAATCACTGAAGAATTGTTTCATCTTTGTTTGTAGACCTCAACAGTGTGTAACCTTGACCTGTATGCATTACCCCGAGTAATATATCGTAGAATTGGAATCTATTCGTGACCAATCTTAATCTAAGGCGACCTCAGAAATATGCGATTTTCATGTGTTTAACTTAGTTAGTTTCTCAGTGTTGTGATATTCTTAAGATGAGTTCATTTCATGAAAGCTGCGAGGATTTCTGACTCTTCCAACAGATATTTAACATACAACCAGTTTTATGTCGTCTAGTCCTGAGAGCTGACCGATTTCTACTAATCATTTTGTAAAATGACAATAGTCAAGTTACGAGGTCAATCATCGCCGTGCACTTTGCTGGATGTTAGTTGGTTGAAGGCAATCGCTAGGAAGCCCTGTTTAAAATAGGTTCCATTTTTGTTGCCAATCGCCAGGACGGCTCATGTGCAACTTCGAGGTCAGTCGCTGATTGCAACACTGTATAACGCCTCCAACCAACTAACAGACATTTGACCTACACACAAATCCATGAATAATGGCTAGTGAAGTTATGAAAAGAGTTTGCATATGTAAGGAAATTCTCATTCAGTCATACAACAAAAGGCATTCAATGAAGACGTAATCTTTTCACTAGTTTATTCTCAAATTCCATTGTGTTACAAAGTCTTCTAATAAAGCTTAGAAGATTCAACAGGAATTCACCGAAAATGAGAGAAAAAGTTGACAGACATAAGTTTGATTTGATTCAGTTAACCTCAGCTTCATACTTTTCATAAGGAAACGTTCGGAACAACTATTTTTCATCAGAGAATTTTAAAGGATGTTTAGCTCTTCATTAATGACTTCAGGACTGCAAATGTTACGGGTTCTATAACACAGGGGAAAGATGAGATTTCGTTTTTGTCTCTAGACAACCCCCCCCCCCCTCCCCGACTGTAGAAGTTCGCGTACTACTCGTTCCAAGTAGGTTTCATCCATAATAAATCGCTTTAATGCTTAATTGCTATGTCTTGTTAGTTGTACACCTAAAAAAGATATTTGCTTCAAATATTCTCCAACTATGAATACAAGGGGGGGGGGGTATACATTCTTCCTTTTTTGAAATGTATGATGGGATGAAAGTACTTCAGAAAGAAGAGCAGAATATACAGAACTCTCAGAAGTAGCACGACATTTCGAAGGTAGACAGAAAAGTATTATAATGTGCATTAAACATATATTTCATCTCATTGTACAACATATCTTAGTAACAAGAAACTGTGGTTCATTCCTTATTCATAACTGGTACATCCAAAAACAACTATCCTTTCAAATACGATTGCTTTTCAAAACATATGGAGAACTGTGAGAAATTTAAACAAGCAGACTATAAAGGCGATTAACTTGTTGATAAGATGATTAGCTCACCGGAAAATTAAGAATATGAAAACAGTCCTGGAAGAGATAATATATCTACATCTTTTGACCTTGACTACTCTTCATAAATGAGATCATCATAAGAATAGGCAGGCAGCCTTAAATCTAGTGCTTAGAATTTACTGTCTGTTTATTGACCTTCATAGTATCCTCGGTTGGCTATCAGTTGTCTGAAGCATAAAGTTTAAAGTTATGTCATTTCAACACCAACCAAAGAACCATTGGAAAACTGCGAGCTATTTCATCCCATTTAGGACTACTCAGCAGTACACACTCAACACCTCATGAACGATGAGGACCAAGATCACTGAATGTTGTAGCGAGATAGTTGGGATTTAGTCACTGGGTTAGAAGTCAATGGTCAATTTCTTCAACTTCTATCTATCATCACTGAAACACCATCTGGACTGCGATTCAACTAAGGATTCTGTTAGGATTGGTTAAGTGAGTAATTGATTTAAAAACTGTTTTTATCATAGACTGGTGAAGATTTGGTCCACGACAGGACTCGAACCAGCGACCCCATCAAGTTTCCTGTTCGATACTTTACCAACTGAGACAAAACGAGACTTTTGAGAGACTTTTTGAGAGATTAATGTTTTCTTCTGAAGTATCATTGAACATTGATTATCTGTACAGTTAGTTGGTTAACGGTCTAAGCTTCTCTGAAATGCACTTAGTTAGAGCCTTTGGAAGATGATCATCGTTTAATCATAGTAGATCACTAGTGTAGAAGTTGTCAGCCTAAATAGTAATTCGGCAACCTAGTCTAGTATATAGTTAACCAAACAGTATTACAGTAATTCCCACTTAAACAATTACAACTGTGGTTTACTTGGAAGAATGAAAAAACAACAACTTCTCTATGGCTTTCACTAACCGATTCAGTTGTGGCAGATAATACCGGTATCGATGCCGATGATATATCTTTCGGTTGTTCAATCCCTTTTTGTTTACGCTCAGCATCCCAATGAGCACGTTCCTCAAGAACACGTTGTTGAGCTGCAGATGGAGCAGATGAATTTTTCGATAATTTGTAGTCATTATTAGCATTCTGTTCAAATTGTTGACGTATACTTCTTAAACCGCCATCTGGCTTGAAAATAGGGGCTAAATTTGGAAGAAGGTAGGAGAATAATACGAAGATAAAATCATTATACATCGTTTAACAAAAAAAAGTGAATTACGTTGAACAACTGGAAAGAGTGAGACCAAAGTCAGACATCAAGAATTCTGTGCTTCAATTTAGGAATTTTGTGGGGATTTATTGATTTCAAGTTGATATTCACTATGGACTGATATCAATCAGTTAGAGAAACATTGAAATATCTTGGAGCAATGGAACTTTTCAGCAGTACGCACCCATGACTTCGCCAGGGATTACAAACCCAGTGCTCGATGGTACTGTGCTCACATCGGAACATGAAGGTGCTGACTGGGTTCAGTCTCTAATAGGATAACCCTGGTTCATGAATTTTACTAGTACCATAAATCCTACTAGGATAATTAGTTTTCAGCATTATATTAAATCATTTAGACTCACTTAGAAACGGCTTTATTCGGCCTATTAGACCCATTGTAGACTTCAGAAACACTCCTACTTATGTCTTGTCTAAATATTTAGCTATGGTACTAAACCCAATTAGAAACCTTTGTTATGACTTGAAGCACAGATAAGATGATAGTAAAAGAAAATGTTTAGTTTTGATGTAGTTAGTTTGTATACCAATATACCAATTGACATGGCCTTGCAAGCAGTTAGAAACGAGCTCAATAATGACCATGAGCTTATACTACGAACTAAGGTACGAGTAGATGATAACATGCTAGGAGTAATCTAATCTTTGCTTCAAGTCATAACAACGGTTTCTAATTGGGTTTAGTACCATTGCTAAATATTTAGACAAGTCATAAGTAGGAGTGTTTCTGAAGTCTACAATGGGTCTAATAGGCCGAATAAAGCCGTTTCTAAGTGAGTCTAAATGCCTAACTTCCACAATATTTAGGTTTCAGAATAAAATATACAAACAAACAAAAGGAGTTGCCATGGGATCACCAATATCCCCTATCGTGGCTGACGTATTTATAAAGAGCTGGGAACGGACGACTGTAGAAAAATTTAGTCCAGATCTAAAAATATGGTTTCGATATGTAGATGACACATTTACAGTGTTGAAATCGGAACACATACATAATTTCTTCACACATTTATAAACTCAGTAGTCAACGCAATCTAATTCACCTATGAATTAGAAAATAGGGAAGAAGAATTAGAGATGTTGGATTGCCGAAGAAAATGGAAACAAGATGAGAGTTTAAACACTAGTGTCTACAGAAAACCTTCACATTCAAACCCTTATTTAGACTTCAAATCGTCTCACCGCATTTCAGTTAGAGTTGGTTTAGTAAAGTGTCAGAGCCAAAAAACTTACTAGTAAAGCAGAAGATCTAAGACAAGAAACCAGATACATTAAAGACGCCTTAATCATCAACAATTACCCTCTCAAATTAATTGATAAGCTCCTTAGGAATCGTATGAAAATATCAGTAACACAGTTATTAATAGTCGTAATGATAGCGTTGATAATGATGTTAATAATAGCAGTGGAAGTACTGTGAAGAGATAACTCAAGACCTCTGTACTATTACCATACAAAGAAGACGCTTCAGAGACATTACGTAGGATTCTCAATAAAGCTGACTGGGATTAGAGTGGTATTAAAACCTACAAACTCACTTCGAAATAGGCTTTGTACGTTAAAAGATCCTACTGAATAATTTAGTTTATTAAATTCCTTGTAACGACTGAGAAGTCAAATACATGAGTCAAAGTAGTCGACCAGGGTCATATAGGCTATCCGAACACAAAAACCTAGCTAGGTCAAACTTGGTGAATCCTAGCATGATAAGGTAAGGAATTTAGAAAACAGGCTCATTCATAGCTATGCATGCAACTACACACAATCATACAATAGGATGGGACAAAGTGAAAATCTTTAAAACTAACATAACAGGGTAGAGAGAGAGAGAGATTGATAACTGAATATTTGTTTGTCGAATCAACACCTAACATATGCAACAAGAATGACCCAGCACCTCTTCCAGATATATGGAAAATCTTACTATCCATCTTACAAAGAGATGAGGAGATTAGGACTATATAAAGGATATCTTAAAGTTATGTAGTTATCTTGATATGACTATGACAGCGTAAGTGATGTCCGAAACGTTATCCAGTAAACAATACTGCTACACTGTGCGATATAACTAACAAATCAATAGAATGGAATTACATCTTGCTACAGTACACACGTTTTACACCTATATATTAACTGAAGATTTTGTTTAGATTCAATGTGATTACGAAGTCTAATTTACGTTGTTGTTGACCTACAATAGTAAGACAGATGCCAATTTTAACGCATACATACACTGAAAAGAATAATTCAGTAATACTTTTAGCAGGAATAAAAAAAACAAATTTTTGCAGAATACAATAAAGTCATTGTATTTTATCGTCTTATTCTCTTCAATTGAATACAGGCTATTGAATCGTTGGATATGGATAAACAGAAATAACATCCACATAATCCATTCATCAAGAACATATGACAAACAGAATCAACATAGACCCTTGTACACAAGTGCATCAGTTCAAGTGATCACACTTCACAGTAGTATACAAAGAACAAGTGTATGGAATAAGATCCATATCAAAGGCGATAAAGTTGTGTGAGAGAATAATGAATTTGAAGATTAGGGTTACTACGAATATTCAAGGTTTAGGAATACATCTGCGACACTGTGACCGATTTTCAGTCATGTCACCGCAATCCATCAACCACTGATTTCTATCATCTCGGCGACCCCAGCCAGGCAGTCTCCTCACATGACTATACCAACAGTCAAAGACTTCATTCACAGGTACCACGAGTAGGTCTGGCCACCATGAACATTCTTCCAATCTAATCTAACTTCCCCCAGCATGACACCTCGAGGTAGGTGGTGGTTTGGTATGCCCATCATCCAGAAGATGATAGTCTATTGATGACAGATAATGCAGGAATTCATACAGATTAAGGAGGTTCCAATGAAATAAGTTGTGCTTACTAAAATTGAAGTTAACTTATGTGCTTATATATATATATAATATGACTTAGCAAAAAATGGAATAGGAAGGAATTCATTTCGTCGAGAGATGTCTGGAATAAAATGGTTACCCTAAGAGATTTATAGGTAAAATCAAAATGAGAACAATGGAAACAAATGAAATTGATAATTTTGAGACGTAACCTATATTTCTTCATCTGACTTTCACAAGGGTGATGAATTCATGAACAAAGTTAATAAAAGAATAAGAACTGAACTAATAAATCACCTTTACAGTCGTTAAATTAATTTCCATCTACAAAACAAAGTTGTTATTCATCGTAGACTGGGGTCATGGGTGCGCATTGCTGAGGAGTCCCACACTAGGACGAAACAGCTGTCAAGTGCTCCCAGGTTTCCTTTGTTCCTTCAACTGATGTCAGTCTACAATGAATAACAACTTGAAATATTTCCAAATCCCCACAACTCCTTCAAAACTCAATTGAACTGGTGCTCATTGGTGACTAGTTTCGAGAGGTATTCCCGAAGTTCCAATGAGAAGTCATGATCGGTGGAGGCAAAGCCTTATGGTCTTGAGGACAGTTACTCAACGACGACATTGGGTGACAGTTGCGCTATATCGTGAGCTAACAGAAGTTGGAAATATGGACCATTCGATTCTGACCCAGTGGCTCGATGGTAACGCGCTGGCTACGGGACCTGAAGGTCGCGGGTTCGATCCCTGGCGGGGTCGTGGGCGTGCACTGCTGAGGAGTCCCACATTGGGACGAAACAGATGTCCAGTGCTCCCAGGTTTCCTTTTTCTCCTCCAACTGATGTCAGTCTAGGATGAATAACAACTTGAAACATTTCCAAATCCCCACAACTCTTTGAAAATTCAACAAAGCAGTGTTCACTATGATAATCAAAAGTTGAAATGTTTCTTTCTGTTTCATGTTACCAATTTATATGTGTATATATCAGAGCGCATGTATCAGTAGGATAGAGAGTAGGATTGAGATTGGATTTTATAAACACATTCCAAATAAATTAAGCTTAAAGGAGCCAAAGTGTTTGAAAAAAGTTTCATTCATACACACCTAATAGACATAGAACACAACATCCGGATCTCAAAGGCATTTAGAATATTATTTAACAAACGAAACAATGAATCCTATAATATTTACAGAAGTAATTAGCATTAGAGGAATTAAACTGAACTTAAGCACCCAAAAAGGAGGCAATTGTTACCCTCTAACTTTTTATGGTAGCCATTGATTTGTTTTGTCATTTAGTTTAAACCCTTCGAAAATTTGTATTCTCATCCTCTTTTAAAATCAATTCGATAATTGATTTCTATTTCAAAGTAGTATTCCTTAAGGGTTGACAACAGTTGGGAGAACTGGATAAATGTTTCGTCCTAGTATAGGACTCTTCAGCAGTACGCATCCAGCCAGGGATTGAACTCAGAACCTTCAGGTTTTTCACCTTCATATGTTAACTAGTTGACCTAGACTCACTTGACTTTAGTTCATACCAAAACATTTCAACCCTATAGTTACATTATTATTAACTTATCATATACACTTATGTAATCCTTTCTAGTGCATTTTTGCTGAGTCACGTGTATCAAGATGACAATCTGAATATATAAACACATAAGATAGATGACTTCAATTTTAGTGACCACAATTTATTTCATTTGGACTTTCTTAATCTGTAGGAATTGTTGCATTATCTCTCATCATCATCTTCTGGATGATGAGCATGCCGAACCACCACCTACCTCGAAGTATGATGGTACAGAGAAGTTGGATCAGGTTAGAAGTGTTCACGGTGGCCATACCTACAACACGTGGTACCAGTGGATGAAGTCTCTGATTGTTGGTGTGAGTCATGTGAGGAGATGTAGACTATCTGACTGAGGTCTGTGCGATGAAAGAATCAATGGCTGATGAATCCTGAAAATCGATTACAATGGCACAGATGTATTCACTCATTGACATCTTCTAAACCTTGAATATTTGTACTAACCCTTATCTTCAAATTCATTATTCTCTCACACAACTTTATCACCTTTGATATGGATCTTATTCCATACACTTGTTCTTTGTATACTACTGTGAAGTGTGATCACTTGAACTGATACACTTGTGTACAAGGGTCTACGTTGATTCTGTTTCTCATATGTTCTGATGAATGGATTATGTGGATGTTATTTCTGTTTATCCATATCCAATGATTCAATAGCCTGTATTCAATTGGAGAGAATAAGGCGATAAAATACAATGACTTTATTGTATTCAGCAAATTTTATTGTTGTAACTCTGCTAAAAAATGTTGAAGGGAATTAATTATATGAAAAGTCAGTACACTACCTTTCATTTGTGATGGATGCAACTCAGTTTTATTGGCTTCATTCCAACCAACTGAAGATGAATCCACTCGATCTGTTTGTAAACCAAATTTTCCACCGAATCCTTTAGTATAATCTACTTGAGATGGATGACAAGTTGTTTTTTCATGATGATCCCAACCTAAAGCAGACTAGAAAAATATAGAGAAAGAAAATCTTATTTTATATGGATGCCACATACATGTGTAGAAAATCAAACAATTTATATCATTACAGAAAAGCTAGAGATATAGGAAGTACTGTAGGCGTGAATTACCCGGTTTTTGGATATATTTTGAAAAATGAGAACACTCTTTATCTCTCCCTCCCTCTTTCTCCCACCTTCTTCAGTAATCAAATCTATAACCTTTAATTGTAATCAGAAATATATTACCTTTCGGCTATTTCAAGTTGTTATTCATCGAAGACTGACATCAGTTGGAGGAACAAAGGACACCTGGGAGCACTGGACAGCTGTTTCGTCCGAGTATGGGAATCCTCAGCAGTGCGCACCCACGACCCCACCAGCAGGGATCGAACCCGCGACCTTCAGGTTCCGCGACCAGCACGTTACCATTGAGCCACTGGGTCACAATCCAATGCTCCATATTTCCAACTTCTGTTAGCTCACGATATAGCGCAAACCACCACCCAATGTCATCTTTGAGTATTTGTCCTCACGGCCATCAGGCTTGACTCCACCGGTCACGACTTGTCATTGGAACTTCGGGAATACTTCTCGAAGCCAGTCACCAACGAGCACTAGTTTAATTAAATTTTGAGGGGGTTGTGGAGATTTGGGAATATTTCAAGTTGTTATTCATCGAAGACTGACATCAGGTCGCGGGTTCGATCCCTGCTGGTGGGGTCGTGGGTGCGCACTGCTGAGGAGTCCCATACTAGGACGAGACAGCTGTCCAGTGCTCCCAGGTTTCGTTTGTTCCTCCAACTGATGTCAGTCTTCGATGAATAACAAGCTTTCGGCTAGTTTGTTAGTCATGGTATTCGTGATACACAACACATGACCTTATCTTCAATATTATAATCAAAGACTTTTCAACGTTCTTTTACTCACCCTCAATGGTTGAAGTCACTCTCGCCTGTAGGGTTAGGAATTGAATACTATTGAACTAACATGCTCTGGAATTAAATCTTTCCGCTTGGTAATAACGTGTTCGACAAATTAGATTCCTGAATTTCTTTGTGAATGATGATAAATTATTAAACAGCCTCATTCTCATACAACCGAGAAAAAAAAAACAACCATGACTATATTATGGTTGGAAAACTACTCAAATTTTCTATCTTAGTGGTAGATTAAAACACTGAGAAACCATAGAACTAAGCACAACAGTCAGTAAAATAGCTAGATGACATAGAAATCAAATCTAGTGTGTAACAAAACAGTTTAGTCAATAAAGCAGAAGAATACTGATCGAAAGGTCACTGCTTCGAATCTTGCCTCTCTTTTATAGGTTTTCGGCTATTAAACCGCCTACCATTAGTACAATATGATAAGTGTTTTCACTTGCTTATATTAAATGTATAACATGTCATAATTATAGGCAAAGTGATTGTTGAATTCAATGGAGCGGAGTGGAATTTCCATTTAATTCGTTCTTATAACCCAAGAGTGTCGATTCCACATGCTCTAGTAATATGCCAGTTATTCATATTGGCTAGATATTTAACACTTGACATTTCGATGACACAGCGAAATACCTATCACCGACAACTTGGGCGGTGGCTCAGTGGTTTAGGAGACGACTGCCAAGTATTAGGTAGTGGAATGGAACCCCATGCCATCCACAGAGGTTTTGGTAGCCAGGTAGTATTACTCACCTTCATACAATAAGTATAGCTCATTGCCTACTGAACGAATGTGTACAAGATGGCTGGATTGGTTTCGTTTTTCCCGAGAAGCTGAGCTTAGAGGACACAGTGTACACATCTCAATTCATAAATACCGACAACTTTTCACAACGAAAACTGTTTTTTCTACTTTTTTGTGTCAACCACACCTGCTATCTTAATGTAATAATGGTTTAGCCTGTCCGTCGTAATGACCCACCTGAGTTAAACTGACTGTTGCCATGCCAATAAAGTCAGCTGTAGAATGGTTAGACAAAAAGCAGCTAATATCACAAATAAAAATACTGAAATATGATGAGGTCTGAGACTGAACTTGAACAACTGGTTGTGACAAAGTGTTTCTAAGGCACAACCAGTATTACTAGATGATACTGCTTTCGCCGTGTCGGAAAGAGGAGTGAGAAAAAGTTCGCTTTAAAAATAGTACAGTCTCCTCTTGTTCCACAGTTGTCTGGTTTTAAAGTATATAAAGAACACGATTAGGAAGTAATTCATTAATTCCAAAGAGGTCATGTACGAAGGACAGAACCCGAGCAGCTGTCCCCTTCGGCTTTGTAGTCATGCAACCAAACCGACAAAAGCAACTGGTAGAACAAAACTTTAATGACGGCCAGTCACTTTCAAGTATGCACTGACCAATCCGAATCAAGAATATGAAAGACGTCATCATTAGGGTAAATCGTACATTATTTAAGATTTATAAATTTGCTTCACATGAGAAATAAAAAGATCTAGATTTTAAATAGGTTTATGATCTTTGAAACCATAGCATTGTCTGTCTTGCCACTCATCCATATGAGACTGCATCATTTGACCTCATGATCCCACTAAAGGTCTGAAGAACTTTCCACGATGACTTTACGTATTTTCATTGTTGTTTGTGCGCACTCCAGCTGTCCAATCAACGAAGTGTTTCTAGTGACCAACAGCTTGATGGGATAAACGACTTTCAAGGATCTGTGCATATTGTCGTACCGACTAAGTATATCGTCTATTTAAAGACACTCTACTCGAACACTTGTGGGCGAGTTAAAGCCTATGGTGAGATATCCGGGGAGCTGCACTCGTCGAGTGGTGCCCGCCAAGGGTGCCCACTAACTTCATTCGTATTCAATTTTATCATAGATTCTCTTATGGAGGTCTCCCTCTCGTCACCTGACTACACAGAGATTGACCTAATCACAGGAGAATTTTCGGTAAGCCTAGAATACGCAGATGACATACATCTGTTAGGTGAAGACAATGACATGATGCAGAGTCTTCTGAACACATTGAGTGGAAATTTGAGAATGTTTGCGATGCGTTTTTCACCACCCTAATGCAAATTGTTGCTCCGAGATTGGTCTTCAACTGTGTATCGGCAAAACAGTTGAGTGTGTCGACTACTTCACTTACCTGGGAAGCAAGATCACCTCTGGTGGCTGGCTCAGTAGCCGATGAAATCTCTGTACAAATACAAAAGGCTCAACCGGCTGGCTGCCTGGCTTTTGCCAACTTACGCCACCTATGGCGACGCCGTGATATCTGTCTATTAACAGTCACATGTACTGCACAACGGTCCACTCTGTTCTACTCTATGGCTGTGAAACATGACCATCAAGGGGAAAGACATCAAAAGGCTTCAGGTATTTGACCACCGTCACCTTCGTAGTACAGTAGTACAGTCAGATGTAGAGCTTTAGGGAGAAGAGATAAATCAGTTGACACGGGTTGTGAACTTTCATCGACTGAGATGATTGGGACACGTGTTATGTATGCCTAGTCACCGATTACCTCATCACACAATGTTGACAGACTGGAAAAAGATTCGAGGTGGCCAGACTAAAATATGACATGAATGTATGAAGTGTTTGACTGTTGGTTTGAAGCATGTGGGGAGATGTAGACTGGGTGGTTGTGATCCGTGGGACAAGAGAAACCAGTGGTTGGTGACTCTAGGTGATGGCATGGTTGAGAACCGATGTCAGTGGCGCAGATCTATACACACATTATCCTCATCTTAACGACGCTATACTGAATCTCACCATTTTCTCATTCTCCCTCTCTCTCTCTCTCTTTGAGTACTTTATATTTGTTTTGACTGAGTTTTCTTTTCTTCACCTTCCACTTCACTGCCTTTTTACTTGATGTACTGATATGAGGTGTGGCAACTCGGACCGTTACGCAGTAATGCCTGGTCCTATGTTGATTTGGATGATAATGATGATGGTACTAGATGCCACTCATTTTTCTAGGATAAACATTTCTGTTCTGTTCTTTATCCTCTGAAAATGTACTTTCTGGATATTTCGGCCATATATACTATAATTTGTCAAGGCAAATGTATGTGAATTGCCAAGCCCTGTTCAAGTCATCTTCTTGGGTTATAATTACGTCTCTGGAAGAGACATTTACCTATCTTAACCACATTATTTACTCCACCAAATTTCTCATCTAACCTACAACGTAATTTTCATCATAATTTATTAGGCTATGCAGCGTTAGCAACATGGTAAACGGATGTAAAGAATTCCATATTGGATTTGTTTATTTGATTTATAACACACAATGATCTAGTATTATCTACTTGATGACGTTTCGAGCGTAAATTATCATTCCTCATAATCAGATCAATGTAATCACACTACTTACGACATTTGATTTTTATAGTTATGTCACCTGATATGTTTTGTTTTTATTGGTTGTAAAACTCTCCATATCTCTAGTACGAGTGTTGCATCATTTCTATTACACATGTGTTGGCTGGGAGTTGGTTGATTCGATGATCAAAGATTCAGTAATCAATCTCTCTCTGTCCCTCCACCCAAAATTATATTGGACTTAAGTACAGTACGGTGGCTTTATCCCACCCACCCTATTGTGTGGTTGCGTGTTAATGCATGCAATCCAATAACCGAGTGTTTTTCTAGATTATTGATCTTATTCGGGTCTGTCATTCTATATTTAGCTAAATCCCTATGTTTGTCCATTCTAACTGACACCGACCGACTAATTTGACCTATTTACTTGACCTCACAGTCATTACATGGAAGTTGATAGATTAGATTATTTTGCTTAATTAGTTCCATCGGGTCCTTAAGCTAGCCAACAAAGTTCATCTCTCAGTGAGTTTCTAGGTTTCAATACCACCCTAATTCCAGCTTTGTTGAGCATCCTATGTAAAGTTTCTCATGTACCTTTCTTACAAAGTAACACAAAGTAGACTGTAAACTCCTTTCTACTAGTGTTCTCGTTATTAGTCGAACTCGTGTGACTGTTATTTTTTCGTTTTCTCTGTGTCCGTAAGAATTTCTTAATAAACTGCGGAGGATAATTATTAACTATTAGCGCTTCTTTTATGTGTTTCAATTCCTTATTTAGGTTCTTGCTCTGACTAGTCAGTTTTCTAGCTCTATCATTTAGACATTTGACTAATCCCGCCTTAACTGACATTGGATGGAATGATTTGAAGTCTAGATACCTGTTGGAATGTGTTGGTTTTCTGTAGACAGTAGTATCCAAGCCACCGTCTGTTCTTCGTTTTAACCTGCAATCCAACATAGGTAATTCTCCTTGTTCGTTTTCTACCTCGTAAGTTAATTGGATTGCGTTTAATACTGAGTTTATATGCATGAGGAAATTGTCGATATGTTCCGATTTCAACACAGTCAATGTGTCACCACATTCGCTACCATATTTTTGGTATAGGACATTTATAACCTTATTGGCTGTCCTCAAGGTTTCCCATCACTAAAGTTTAGTTCTACCAAGCAACCCGTAATAACCTAACTTTTCACGACGTGAACATACGAAAAGTGTCAACCGCTCCCATACATTCGTTAGCCCTCAACTCGTTTCTAATTATCATCAATCTTCTTCCTCATTGTCTCCTAAATTTTGTTCACCCCTATCTGCTAGTAATTCTACACCACTTTCAACTTCTTTCAGCTTTTCAGTAGGTGATAATGATGAGAATCCATGAGACAGTGTTCTAAACTACTTACTATCAATATCCGAGGACTTCGTCAAATCAGAGGACAGATTTCATTAGACAAAACTCTAACATCTCAAAGTCATGGACGTATGATGTATTTCTCGGACACATATAGAATATACAAGTGTGTTTGTTTACTTGACCGAAACCGATGAGAACGGTAAGTTTATGTGATTTATGTTTACAGTATCTGAGGTTTTGATAGTCGGTTCTCACGATTTTGCAGATGTAGACAAAGCATTAAGTCGTAGGACAGGAACTAAATAGTACTGTTTTGAAACTAAGGCTAAAGCCTGTTGTAGATGAAAAATATTACGCAGCTGTGTCTGTTATTCATTAGGGGAACAAAGCCTCAACAAACTATTTACGACTACTTAATTACTTACTGAGTTCATCAACCCACATGTATGAGTTGACGCATAAATACGGAATAATTGAGTTAAGCAACCGAAAGTGGTGGGACATGCATCTAAATGGCTACAAAAACACCTGAATTATCCTACCTGGATGAGAAAAGATGGCGGATAACTGTCTCTGTCTCAATTGAAACAATTTTTTAAATACGTTAGGATATCAATATCGAAATGGCTTTAAAAATTTTGGATAGATGCTGTTAGAGGTAAATATGACAGGCTATTTTACTTTCAAGTTAGTATTCCCCGACCGATAGCTGCTACCTTGACGTGGTGGTCGGGCTTGCATATCACAATGACCCAATGAAGTATGCTGGTGAAACGCTTGTTCCCTCGAGGTCCTATCATACTAGAAAGGTCTGTTGGATAGTGGTTAGACGAAAAGCAGTTACCGTTATAGCGTAAATTGCTACACTTTGATGGGGGTCTGAGGGAGAAGTCGTACTGCTGCTAGCTCGATGGGGTGTGACAGCAGTAAGGTGTTTCCCTTGGATGACCAGTAGTGCCATGCTGATGCTACTTTCTCAGTGTAAGGGGGGGTTAGAAAAGGTCTGCCCCAAAAATAACACACTCCACCACGCCCCACAGTCTGCCGGGCCGGCGGTGTTGGTTCACTTGTCGTTTCCTTTCGATCATCCGGCCCAAAAATACAAAAGTTCAAAATAATCATACTCAAAAGGCTACGTGTGGCAGGCCTCAAACAGATGTCCGATGGGCTCTGCGGTCACACAAATCTCTTTCAGGTACCTTAAGAAGAAATAGCCTTCTACGGTGTGGGCAGCTGGGAAGTGTCAACCGCCCTCACAACTCTATTAGCACTAAAGTTTCCTGATGAAGTTAGTATTCATTACGGACTGATATCAGTTGGAGGAACATTGGAAACCTGGGAGAACTGGACAGCTGTTTCGTTCTAGTATAAGACTCCTAGGGGATCGATCCCCGGCGGGGTCATGGGTGAGAACTGCTGGGGATGAAATAACTGTCCAGTGCTTCTAGGTTTCTAATATTCATCCAGGTGATATCAGTCCATGATGAATGCCAACTTAAAAATCGCTAAATCCCCACAAACCCTCAACTTCAACTTACTTTTAAATAACTAACCTCTGGTTTAAATCCAGCTCCCCCTAATCTATCCTAGGCAACTGTATATTAGTTTGGATGAAAGGTCTTACACATTAGGTCCAACTTATAGTCCTGTGTGTAAACCCACAACTTATTGATGTCTGAGGTGTATACTTAGATTTGCGCTGGGAAGAGAAAAATGCTTCAATAGTATACTGGTCAACCCTAGCACACTTTATATTGATAAAGTGAATGGAAATAGACACGCAGAAAAACAAGAAAATGCATATGAGAGCATAAGCAAAAGTAAATAACTGGTGACAATACCATGGTATCCATAAAAAAGCTCACATGTTAATTGTGACCAGTGAATACCCTCTGCAAAATTCAAGAAAATGGAAATGTTTTCATCTACCCTTAAAAATAACTGATATTCATCACAAGGGTCCATCTTTAGTCCCCAGAAAAAGTGTTCTCTATCTCGAGCTTCGATTTTATGCTGCGTATTCCTACAAACTCTCTTCATACACACAGACACACACACCTAAGACCACAGAGTCTGATAAAAATGAGAGTAATTCACAAGCAAGTACATTGAAAAGCTTACCTTATCCTGCCTATCTGTTTGAACACCGTATTTACCACCAAAACCAGCAGAATAGTCTTTTTGTGAAGGATGTTTTTCCGTTGCCTCTTTATGATCCCAACCTACAGCTGACTTAGATAAAAAGAATGATTAGATAAATAGAGAAAAATCAGTAGCCGAAAAGACCTCCTCAAGGAGAATACAGCTATAACCAGCATACAATCTCACTTCCAATTAAACAGCAATAACAACGTGGGGAAAATATGGTAAAAACCTAGTCCATATATTCTTGTATGTATTTTCCCGTGATTGATTAGACCCAGCTGATCAGCTTCTATATGAGTTCCTGCGTGCATGCCTCCTTATTGCCTGTCGTTTTAATTTTATGGTAATGATCGATAGTGACGAGTATTGAGATTCAGGGCGTACATTTCGTCCTATTTGGAACTCGTGAGCTGCATGTACCTCCTCCCTTGCCCAGTGAGTCATGTTGTTCCCACTAAGACTCGAATTAGGGAATGGTCGCTTGCAACACCAGATAACAATAGGCCACCAAGTCACTACAGCCAGGTATGCGACAGGTTGTTGTTTGTACTATCTAACTGGCAATGGAAACCGATCAATTCCGACCAACCAACGACAGGATAATATACAAGTAATAACATAAAAGCCATACTCGTTGCACGAGAGGTGTGCGTCGCGACTCAATGACCTAGTGGATAACACTCTGGGGTTTGAAGCGACTGGTCCCAAGTTCGAACCTGAGAAGGCAGTCATATCCAACTCATGAGTCTCAAATAGAAAGAAGTGCATGACTTGGATCCCACTGTTAATCATTACCTATCGCTAGCACCAAGTCCGTGGTTTTTATCAACGTCCTGTAGAAGCTTGAGCGCCAAATCTGACTAAATGATTACGTAAGTATTTTTTTAACATAATCTCGCAATTTTCTGAAAGTTCCACTGTATATGCTATAGCTTCTTTAACAGAATTCTACTACATAGTAACGTAGGCAAAGTAATATAGGCGATGTGCAGGGGATGGTGAATGAATGAATGTCTACAAACCATTCAATACCTTTTATGTAAGCTTTTTAGTTATTGAATATTCAAATATTATGGTAATTCAGTCACCATTAGCACGCTGTCTATAGAGTGAATTTAAAAGACACCCTAACAATTACCGAAATAAAAATTTGGACCGCGGTGGAATTCAAACCAGCGACCACTGGAGTCTTCAGCCCGGTGCTCTACCAACTGAATTACGAGGTCCGACTGCTGACTAGATTTTTATTTCACTTCAATCATCAAGGGTTTTGCCCGACTATCATGTGAATTCGTGACGCATTACTATCGCTTGATCGTATTCACACTAGCTACCCTGTCTAGTCGACTTCTCATCTCAACCCAAATCTAACTGAATTAGAGGGGGAGCATCATATTGATTACCATTTTGACTATCTGAGATAGCCATGGTTTAGCAGACTAGTATTGATCTGGGTCATGATTGGAGGTGAAATGATGAAATATGATGCCCCCCCTCTCAAATTCAGTTAAATTTGGATTGGGATAAGAAGTCCTGATTGGGCAGGGCAGCCAGTGTGTGAGTACGATCAAGCGACAGTAACGCGTAATGAATTCATATGGTAGTCGGGCAAAACCTTTGGTGGTTGCAGTGAAACAAAAATCTGGTCAGCAGTCAGGCCTCATATGTGTGTTGGTAGACTACCGGGCCGGAAACCCAGTGGTCACTTGTTTCAATCCGGCCGTGGTTCAAATTCACGTTTCACCTTTAATCACTACCCAGTATCAATACTAGTCTGCCAAACGATGGCTATCTATGATAGTCAAAATGACCGATCAGGTATCCATAGATTTTGGCTAGATGGGAAATTTTCCAAAAAATAAAGATACCTAATTGGTTATTTCAACAGTTGTTAAGGTGGCCTTTAAAGACACTCCGTTTATGCAGTATACAGTGATGCATATCTATTGTTTGAAGTCTACTCACACCCCCCAGTTACCCAGACATCGATAAGTAGAGCTAAGATTAGACCTCATGACACACTGGCTGAAAACTGAGCTTCTAAACCAGTGAACCACACCTCGACTTCTTATCTCATATAACACAGTAAAATACTACGCTAGTATTCATTAAAAGTTAGCTCGGACAAAATCATTTATCCGTGATCACAACATTCATATCCCAATACATCAAACGAAAAAGACTAAACATCTGAATACAGAAAAATTAAATGAGACTATAAAAGTAAAAGTCACCAGATAGCAACAGTGTTCTCACAATGCACGAGCAGTGAATCACACCTATTGTATGACGGCTAACGATACTACCTGGTTGCTAGATGGTTGGAGGTAATCGATAGGAAGTCCCGCTTAACCTAAGATTCACGCCTGTTGGTACTTGGCGAAGGAACTGATGTCCCCCTGAGTTTTGAATCTGTGTCACCCAATATTTTAGTCATGGACGCCTTGCTTATGAGTACAAACAAGCATGAAAACTAGGTTAAGCAGGGGTTCGTGTCGATTGCCTCCAACCAACTAACACCCATCAAAGTGTATCATGTTGGTGCGCCCCCTAGCTTGATGGTGGCCATGATCAATAGAATTGTCAGCGCTCTTTAATGACTAATCAACGTATACAACTGGTTGTCCAGACCACGGTAAATGAAGCGGGACTCGAACACGTGACTCATTGATTGAAAGTCATCTCTCTTAAAATACATGGATTTTCAAAAAGCATATTTTCCAAATCTTGCAGCAGTGATGTGAAACTCATTTCCCGACAATTTATGCATCAGATGACTCAAAAAAACAGTATACATATGTCACTTAATACCGTTTATCCAAACAAACATACTTTAATGATACTGACATTAAATCAGTCCACTTAGTTGAATGAGTCTAATACGTTCTACACAATAATGGTTTACGCATACAATAACATAAAGATGAACACGATGTATTCAAGACAACTAACTGCTTACATTCCCCAAAATTTCTAATATTCATTCAACTAAACTAGCATTCGCATCTCGAGTGACTTTAAACACTAGACCACGCCCTAACAACTATTAACAAAACCAATTACGGTTCTTTATTTTATGTAAAACTGACATCCCAACTGAAATACCGGCATCGGATTGGTTATTTTATTAGTTGATAGAAGGTGCCTTGAAAATCACTCTTGCATCTTTTTAAGCCATTGAAAGTAAAGTGAATGATGATGATATTTTCAACCCACAGTTAGAATCTACATATAGTAGGCAGCAATATGTACGGTTGAAGCTCATGTAACCGTATTGATAGAAACTACCTACCTTATCTTGACGATCTGTTTGTACACCATATTTACCACCGAATCCTTTCGCATAATCCTTCTGTGAGGCATGTTTCTCTGATACTTCAATATGACTCCAATCCACTGCCGACTAGGATAAACAATGAAACAGTCGATCGATTAGCACACACACATACAAGTAGAATGCATATTACACGAACACGTGATAAATCAGGTGCATGATAAACTCAACTGACCAAGTTTCAAAATCAATAGATTGGATGAAACATTTCAACACAAAATCCAACAATAAATAAATGTACCTTGTAAATTACACACTGATAACTTCAAATCATAAAAATTTCTTTGTAAAACGGTCAATTCATACATCCATCCAAATCAATATACGACTAGGCATTACTACGTAACGGTCCGAGTTGCCACACTTCGTACCAGTACATCAAGTAAAAAGGCAGTGAAGTGGAAGATGAAGAAAAGAAAACTCATCAAAGCAAATATAAAGTACTCAAAAAGAGAGAGAGAGAGAGGAAGAATGAGAAAATGGTGAGATTCAGTATAGCATCGTTAAGATAAGGATAATGTGTGTATAGATCTGCGTCACTGATATCGGTTCTCAACCATGCCATCACCTAGAGTCACCAACCACTGGTTTCTCTTGTCCCACGGACCACAACCACCCAGTCTGCATCTCCCCACATACCTCAAACCAACAGTCAAACACTTCATGCATTCATGTCATATTTTAGTCTGGCCACCTCGAATCTTTTTCCGATCTGTCAACATTGTGTGATGAGGCAATCGGTGACTAGGCATACATAACACGTGTCCCAATCATCTCAGTCGATGAAAGTTCACAACCATGTCAACAGATTTATCTCTTCTCCATAAAGCTCTACATCTGACTTCTGCATTACTCACGTGGGGTGGTGACACCAGTGAATACGAACTGTACTACGAAGGCGACGGTGGTCAAATACCTAAAGCCTTTTGATGTCTTTCCCCTTCGATGGTCATGTTTCACAGCCATAGAGTGGAACAGAGTGGACTGTTGTGCAGTACACGTGACCCTTAATAGACAATCGGATACATATAAGCAATAACGAGTAACACGACCATCACTATAGCTGTTTTCAGATTACCCTGTGTATTATGCATATAAGAGATTGTAAATAGGTGAATATCTACACGTGGAATTTAATATCATTGTAAGGAAAATAAGTTATGTGAACATTTTCAGTCAGCGGTGCCAGGTAAACACATCACGTTTTCTTCGAATTGCGTCAACGAAAAGTATTCGACTGCTTTGGGGAAAAAATACGATGTACTACTACTACTATTACTGTAGTGGTTGCTGTGGATGAGAATGGATATAAGTAGTATATGTTGAGAAGGTGGCAGAAACTATAGGCAATTTACCAGCACTGGGTAAAAATTCTATCAAGAGGAACGCAAGAGATAATGTGGGCGTATCAAGAGTAAATCAAGATAGAATAAGAACAGGAAATGAAGCACATTATGCAAATGACTGTCTTAGTGTACAATATTTGATGACTAATGTACAAGTTGTCAATAATAAACATTCTTTTATTCGTCTCCGTCTTGTCGTTTTGTACACTACTACTGACGTTAATTGAAACATATAAGCCCTACATATATGGATTTGATTGAGACAAGACAGAGAAACCCTAAGAATGTTAGACATGTTTAGGAGTTTAGTGAAATTTCAGTCAGCTAACTGACGATTAACAGGCAGCTGGAGAGATGTGGCTCCTTGGCCTAGAAGCTTGACTTATAACCTATGGATCACCGCCTACCTTGACATGTGATGCTAGAGGAAGGGTAGATTAGGTTGGAAGAGAGTTCTGGGTGGTCAGACCTACACATGGCACCAGACGATGAAATCTCTTACTGTCAGTCAGAGTCATGTGGGCCTGAGGTCCCTGACACGATAGGAATTAGTCATTGAGAACTCTTGCTGACATGACTGAAAATCGGTCACAGTGTCGCAGATGTATTCCCTTCATGATATCTTCCTAAAGCTTAAATATTCGTATTAACGCTTATCTTCAAATAGGTTATTTTCCCACACAACTTTATCGACTTCGATATCACTCTTATTCTATCCACCTGTCTCTGTATACGACTGTGAAGTATGCCAAGTTGAGCTTATGGACTTTTGTGTGAGGTTTTACTTTGATTCTATCTATCTGTGTGGATCATGGAGTTCGAATGTCACTCCATCAACTTCAACCAGGCTGTATGACAAACGCCAACACGATAAATGTGGCTCGTAATCATTCAATTGTGTTGTATAGTTTTATTATGATTCAACAGATGTTAACATTTATCTGTTCTCACAATCAAAAACTAGACTAAACAAGTTATCAACCAGTAGAATTCGATGATAGAGATATTGGATTGAAAAACAACAGTAGCGCGATAAAAACTAATTCCCATCATGCCCTTTATGATGTCTGAATCATACAAAGTGTAGGTTCCAATAGATTTGACTTACTTTGTGGAGAATATTGTATACTGTGACAGAATGTTAAATGTAGATACAGTGCCATGAAACAGATAAAACACTGATAGAGTTTCTAGTGAAATATTCTCATAAGCATTTCAGCAGTGTTGAAACGCTTTTTTATCAAACAAACCACAGTAATGTACTGTAAGTTAACAATCAAATATACGTTGTATAATTGAATCTGTCAGTATAATTCAAAGAATAATCAGAACTGGTGTGTGTTAATTATTTCAACTAAACGCTCTTATGATTTATCTAGAGATGATTAGTCAGCTAGTCTTAACATAACACCTGAAATTGCTGCGATCCAACGATAAGAGTTGCTGTAGCCCCCCCCTCTGCGGTAACAAAAAGGGGAAAAAAAAAGGTTTAAAAAAAAAAAAAAAGGAAAATTAACCCCTTCCTTGGAAAAAGGAAGGGGGATACACTGACTGGACCCATGAAAAGACCCAGGAGAAGATTTCGATTTTGCCAGTGATGATCTACTTCTAATGTCATGCACAAACTCGAAGATGCACAGGCGAAAACTAACAAGTTGATAGAAGAAGCGAAGCAGCGAAGACGGGACTTCAAGTGAAATTTAGAGAAGACAGAGGTGATGAAGATACCCAGCCAACAACAGCATCAACAACAAGCACCAATCACCATCAATGGGAGAAACCTAAAGGAAGTAGTCTCTTTCACCTACCTAGGCAAACAGCATCGTTTCAACTATAGGCGGCACAGGCATAGATGACGACGTTAAAGCCAGCCAGGATAAGAAAGACAGCAAGACAGGCCTTCATTAACCTGAAATCAATGTGGAGATCTACTGCACCGCACTGCACTTCACTCCACTCAGCATAAACGGTGAACAATATCTGGATCTTCAACACTAAGTCAGTCAAGTAACTCAGTACTTCTATATGATGGTTGAGAGACTTGGCGCGTTACGAAAAGCATTTCCAACAAACTACACACATACATCATCAACAGCTGCCGCCTACCCTCGCTCGATACTGACAGTGAAGGTCAGATCAGATGGCCAGAATAATAAGAAGAAGCAACAAAGAACTCTGGCTGACTGTCAACGAAGCAAGAACCTATCGCCTAAAAAATATGCAGTGAAAGAAAGTGTAGATTGGTTGGATTGGATTGGACATACACTGAGAAGACTGATTAGGGACATCACGCACCAGGCCAGGCCCTCAAGTGGAAGCTAAATGGGAAACGACGAGTTGGGCGTCTGATCCGAGAGTGACATGGAGGAGATGGTGTTAGGAAGAAATGAAAGCTTGTGGGCAGTCGTGGAGCCAGGTTAAGAAGACTGCAGCGAAGAGAGTGCAATGATGACGTGCTACTGAAGCCCTATGTTTCACTAGGAACCCGAAGGACAAATAATAATAATAATGTCCCTTTCTAACCCAGTATCATATAGAGTCTCCAACTGTTGATATTAGAAAGATGCACAATTAAAACAAAAAGCCAAAGCATAATCTACTAATTCAATGTGTAGGTATAACCATTTTAAGCTTTCTTACAACCTAATCCTGCTCTGGGTGAAATTGTCCGCTAAGGTCCACGGTGGATCGCCTGGCATAATCCATGACTAAGCTAAACAAGTCGATGAAACTTTGCATCTACATACCTAAAACTACGCATAACCTGGATATTGATATCACGGTGGCTCTACCTCATGCAGGAAATCTTATGAAGGTGATGACGATTAAATACTTGAAGTGATTACTTTGAATATATATCCACTAGATGCAATCGAACAACAGATATGCTTAGGGAATTGTAGTCTATTTAATGGCTAGCGGTGGAATCCAGGATGCGCGTTTCATTCCACTTCGAACTCGTCAGCTGCATCTACCTGCACCCCAGTGAGTGTTGTCCCCCCCCCGTGAGACTCAAACCCAATACCTATCAAAGCTTTATCCACCAGACCCACTGGGACACACCAGCTAGCTCATGTTTAGAAAAATTAATTCCTTCTCTAACATGCTCATCTTGAAAATTACAAATAAATGTAAACGTTTTGGTGTTGTATGTTGGAAGTCAATCGGTAGAAAGCCCTATCTGATCTAGGTTTTGGTACTTTTCGGCACTCATCGGTAAGGCATATATGTAACCATGAGGAGTCTGGTGTCCATTACATGGGTTTTACGCGTATCAAAGCGCAGAATTTTCAGGCGACCATTGAGTCGTTCAGGCTAATACTAACACCATGTAGGACTGGATCAAGTACACGAACCGATTACCAGTAGGTAATTAGTGTAGCTGTCCAGTTCCTAGTGCTCAAGTCACTTGTGACCTGAATAGCTTAGTTTTGTCTTCCCTTACGGCCGTAGGGCATAGTCGTCGAAGGTGGAAGACATGAAGTGGTTACAGAGTTCTGATCATTAGTGTTTTCGTAAGGATTGCTCATGTTTGGTGGAATCACCGTGTGAGCAACGTTAAGGTCAAGAGAAGGATACTAGGCAAGAAAGGTAAGTCGATAAATGAGGTTGCTTGGACATGTACTGTGCATGCCTAACCACCATCTACCTCGATTTCCTATGCTAGGGCAGTTGGATTTGATTGCAAGAGGGTTTATGGTGGTCAGTCGATGAGGTCTCTGACTGTTGGTATGAGTCGCGTTGGGGGATGTAGACTGCGTGGTTGCAGTCTCCGAGACGACAGGCACCAGTCGTTGAAGACTTTGGTTACATGGCTGAAAATCGATCACAATGGCGCAGACTTACTCACCCTCTGTTGACGTCTTCTAAAGTTTGAATATTCGCACTGACTCTTGTCTTCAAATTCTTTATTCCCTAACACTACTTTATCCACTTTGATATCACTCTTTTTCCAACCACATATTCTTTATATACTACTACAAAGTGTGGCAACTTTGGGCCAGACCATCTGTTTGCGAGGTTCTACGTTAATCTTATCAGTCAATCAGTCAGTGTTAAGAATATTTTAATTAATTTTGCTGCAAGCTGTGTTTCTGAGCTGATATCTTACTTGATGGTTTTAAATTTTTAGAATCACCCTGTTGACAATGATAAGGCTATGTGTAGTATTATGTAAGGAAGGCAAATTAGTTGTACATCTTCATTGACTAAGATGGTTTTGAGGTGTGCTGCCACTGCCACTGCTTACCTCGGATGCGTGGTGTTAGCCGGGGTACGATTGGGTTGGAATATAGTTAAAGGTGGCCAGAATAAGACATGGTGCCAGTCCAAGAAGTCCCTGACTGTTAAAGTTACGCAAGGTTAACTGATTGGGATCCTTAAGACTAGAGAAATCAAATGGTTATAGACTTGAAATCTGTCACAATTGCGAATATTCCTGTGAAAAATGACAAGTTGAAGTGATGCACTTCTGCGCCAGGTTCTAATGGAAGATTAAGAAAGAAAAAGTGGTCAAAGAAAGTAGAAGTGGTAAATGAGAGGAAGGAATAATAAGATGGTAGAATTAATTATAGCGGTTAGTGTGAGCATAATGTGTGTATAGATCTGCGCCACTGACATCGGTTCTCAACCATGCTATCACCTAGAGTCACCAACCACTGGTTTCTCTTGTCCCACGGACCACAACCACCCACTCTGCATCTCCCCACATGCTTCAAACCAACAGTCAAACACTTCATGCATTCATGTCATATTTTAGTCTGACAACCCCGAACCTTTTTCCGATCTGTCAACATTGTGTGATGAGGCAATCGGTGACTAGGCATACGTAACACGTGTCCCAATCATCTCAGTCGATGAAAGTTCACAACCGTGTCAACTGATTTATCTCTTCTCCCTAAAGCTCTACATCTGACTTCTGCGTTACTCACTTGGTGACACTACGAAGGCGACGGTAGTCAAACACCTGAAGCCTTCTCATGTCTTCTAAATTAACTCTCTCTAGAACACTCTGCGATAGGAGAGAGGATATTGCAATGAAGTTCATAGTGTGGGTACATCACTAACTGATTTATCCACAAGCAGATATTGAAAAGGCTAACTTCAGAATAAAACCATTTGTCAAAAACACCATTAATGTCAAACAAATGGATCACATGGATGATAATCACTCACCTTATCTTGACGATCTGTTTGTACACCATATTTACCACCGAATCCTTTCGCATAATCCTTCTGTGAGGCATGTTTCTCTGATACTTCAATATGACTCCAATCCACTGCCGACTAGGATAAACAACGAAACAGTCGATTGATTAGCACACACACATACAAGTAGAATGCATATTACACGAACACGCAAATCAAGTGCATCAATATACTCAATTAACTTCGTCCCAAAATCAATAAAGTGAATAAAACATCTTTAATTTGTTTTTCAAACGTAATATGATAACCCTATGAAACCGAAAGAACGAAAAGATGTAGGACAAGAAGGAAAAAAGGGTAATCAGGGAATCGATCCGAAAAATGTTCCCTGTAGTTTGTGTTATCCTGCGAAGACAGAGAACACATGAAAACTACAACATGATCATCAGTAGTTTTGATTCTGAGTCACACCTATTATCATCTTAAACCGCTGAATAGCATGATGTCCCAGACTCCATTGAGGGAATTTCGAGATACCAAACCATGTCAAACCAACACAACTATCCTTTATCTCAAGGTGTCACACCATACGTGACCACCTATTTCAAACAGTTCGACAGCTGGCAAACAATGAATAGTACGGAAACAGTTAGGATGATATTGTTAAGATAACCCCAAAGCTACCAAAGTCGGTATTTTATGATGACTTCACTCAGAATTATTTATATGCTGATTCCATAAGGTGTCCAGCAACACTGAAGATAGCAATAGGTGAAAACACAGGGTTGTCAGACATTCTTAGCTCATAGAGGCCAGGTTTTACAGACGTAAGATGGAAACGCTTGCATGCATACATTGTACAGTCAACCTTTTAACTAAAGAATAACGTCAGAACGGGAACAAAGATCAACCGGACTGGCTGGTTCTCAATTATAAAACTACAAGTCATATTACTTACACCTAAACCAGCAACTACACAAATACCCAAATATATGCATACTTGTCTACTACTTCCAGAGGATCATCTGTTGAGATGAGTGTGCAGGTACGTTCCTGCCAGTCTTTTAAAAGTACTTTACACTCTTTTAGTACAAAGCACATAGCATACGGACATGGATGACCAACTGATAAAGTGAGATGTGGGTGGCCTGTATGTTGTCGCACAGCATACCTCAAGTTGAAAAACCTTCCTCCTGGTAAGATCTCGAATAGACTCGAAATCCACTTCAGCAACCTTTTGTATAGTCGTGCAGTCTACAATGAGCTACTCCTACCATGTACAGCCTACTAATGATACTACCTAACTGCTTAAACCTCGGTAGGTAGAGTGGGGTTCGAACCCTTGACACACTAGTTGAAAATCACCTCCATAAAATAAACAGACACAAATCCACGGCACTAGGTCAAAATCATCAGACAATAGAAATCAACCAACTACTTAAAATAGATGATGACCTAAACACTGTAAACTTCAAATCACAAAAAGCATCTCGCGAAAAGATAATGAAAATTAGCAATAAATCAATATATAAGGGAAAGAAACATTTCCTTCCGATGACCACCATTTCAAAAGCAATATATACACGCATATAAGTTGAAGATGAGAATAAACAGTTTCATGCTCGGTGACGATTAAATGCGAAATCAAAATTTTGATCGGTACCGGATTCGAACAACCGACAAGTGGGTTTCCGACACAGTGCTCAACCTAGTCACAGAAAGTCGCCAAAAATGGAAATGACTATTTAAGGTGATTCTTCCCATTTCAGATCCTGATCTGAACAATTTTGTCTGTCAGCTGATTGGTGATCTAGCCGCATCATTTTCTGAGTGGAAGTTGTAAATAAATACTATGTATTTTGTCAACTAAAGTCGTCTTCCTCAAGTCAATCACAGGCCCGTCTTTCGTCTTCCGATCTTCACCACTCAGTGGAGTATCAGGTATGGGGGGGAACAGTCGCATTACTCGTATCCAGTTCAAGTATTTCGTTGTGTTATTACTCGTTTCGCTTATTATTAGAACCTACATCGTACTCCAACATGGTCATATCATTTGGCGACAGGTATTTAATTCATTTTGCAATGTAGGGGCACAAATATGTTGAATACAAAACGGACTGCAAAAGTCGGAGAACACAGATGATGTAAACGGAGTCCCGTTATCACTCACCAAAACGGCAAAATAGCTTATGCAGCTGTGTCACTGTTGTATTTGGCGTAATACACCGCCTAGGAATAGCTTCCGGCAGCTCATCAACGCATATTAACAAATGCACACCATTTATTAGTCCAGCAAAGTCTACATGCAATCGAGACCACGGTCTCCTTGGTATTTGCCAAGAACACAGTCCTATCTTGCGTGGGCATTTGGATGGTTGTGTACTTTTGCTGCATTATCCAACAAGATCATGGATACGTTCATCAATATTGGGCCAGTACACATAACCGTAAGCAGTCGATTTCGTCCTGCCCGTGCTAGGATGCGACGAATCAAGCTGACAAAGGACATATCAACCGAGACTAGCAGGAACCGCTACAAGATCAAGAAACATGATACAGTCTTTGACAACAGATAAAATTGCTTCGGTTCATGAGAATGAACATGCGGGGGTCAGCCACACCGATTAAAGTTTGAGACTCGCAGCAGAACTGGATCACGTAGGGTGTAATGGGCAACCTTATCTGCAGTCATTGGAAGTAGTTGATTAGCACATACAAGAGCTCTGTTTACGGCGTCTTCATTGTCTAACTTCTGACTACTCAACAGACGTGATAGAGCATCTACTTGCCCAAATTCAGAGGTTGACTTGTATTTGATGTCAAAATTATATCCCAACAATATAACACCCCATCTTTGAAGACGATTTGCAGTATGTACTGGAACACCTTTCTTTGAACCAAATATGGAAAATAAGGGTTTGTGGTCGATGAATAGAGTAAACCTCCTGACATGTAGCATTTTGTGGAACTTTTTAACGGCAAAAATAAGTGCCAGTCCTTCTTTCTCAATCTAGCTGCATTTAGAGTTCGAGAAGCATGTGCAATGGCTTTCTCCGTGCCATCAAGAAAGCAGTGAGAAATAACGGCACCAATGCCATAATCAGATGCATCTGCAGCAACAATAATTTCTAGATTAGTAACATGATAAGTAAGTAGCATATCCGACATGAGCAATGATTTTACCTTGCCGAAAGCATGTTGACATTCTGAAGTGCAATTTCGTTTCACATTTTTAGACAGCAAATTATTCAACGGAGCACGTAAATGGTGAAGTTCTGGTAAGAAAACACTGTAATATAACTGATGAGATCAAGAAAAGATCGTAATGTCGAAACATTTGATGTAGGGGGCATATTTTAGATAGCACGTACATTCTCTGGATCTGGTCGACGTCCACGTTTATCGAAGATAAAGCCAAGATATTTCACTGAATCCATGAAAAATGTACACTTATTTAAGATAAAAACCAAATTCAGACATTTTAGAAAGGATGGCATCCAGTCGATCAAACAATTCAGACTTACTGCTGCCTGTGACAATCATATCATCTAAATAGACTGCAACCCCAGGTTGGTTGGCAAGCATTGTGTCTATTTCTAGCGATATGTTCAGTTGGCTGGATCTGTGGGCACCCGAGTGTGCGCCATGTGTTTCAAGAAATTTGAGTGACATCGAATGTTGTATCCAGGTGCAGACGAATAGGTTTTCCATTGACAAATAGACGAACATACTACCTCTTGCTCTCAAAATCAACTTTAAACGTCGCGAAAATGCTTTTGGCTTGACACGATAAACGGTGTTTCAAAGAGCTATGTTTAGTTTCCATGGAGTTCTTCTTTGTAGGAGAACAATAACCATCTTTATGACTAAATTGATGATACTGTCGACATTTACGCTTTTTGAATGGGCAAAAATTAACAGAATGCCACGAAGCACAATGCCAGCAAACTGAAAGAAGTTGTAGACTAGACTGAGGGGTTTTCACTGCGTTGATTGAACCCAAATCAGACGGTTGGGACTTTTGTTGTACCATAGCTGTATCATGCTTCAAATTGATCAAGCGTTAGCATTCTGCTATCATCATCTGTGGTGTCATTTTTCGATCTTGTTCGACACGTGACAAAAGTTTGGTTCGGATATCAGCATCTTCAGCGTTCTTTGGAATACAAATAAAAATCAAACATTCAAATTCGTCGGAAGTCATTTTGTTGACTTTGAATCGTTCACACTCACGATTCACCTTGCCATCACATGACAACACATAATCATTAGAGGGTAAAGTTGGATAGCTGAAAGCAATGGATATCGAATGTTAAATACAGAGGACTGCTCACGAAGTATTTGAGATAGGATATTGATAGTTTCATCGAATGATAATTCATGAGAATTCTTCGACACATTTATTATGCTCGATAGTTCCAAGTTTTCGTAATAATAAACGAACTTTAGCTATATCATCGAACATAGAACATTCAATACGAAAAACATCTTTATATCGATGAAACCATAAATCAAATATGAGACCAGACACTGGATCATAACTGAACTCACTGACAGAATTAGAAATGTCTTCATATTTACCTGAAAGAGATGCTGACGGCAACTGATGAATCGATAACTTCTCAGTAAGAGTTTCAGTAAGCTTCAGTTGAGCTGCTTCATTCTAAGCTTGTTGAAGTTGCAAAATGGATTTGAGGTCTTCCATGGAAATAGACATTGCAAAATGAATTAAATACCTGTCGCCAAATGATATGACCATGTTGGAGTACGATGTGGATTCTAATAATAAGCGAAACGAGTAATAACACAACGAAATACTTGAACTGGATACGAGTAATGCGACTGTTCTCCCCCATACCTGATACTCCACTGAGTGGTGAAGATCGGAAGGTGAAAGACGGGCCTGTGGACTGACTTGAAGAAGACGACTTTAGTTGACAAAATACACAGTACATGTATATATATATATATATATATATATATATATATATATATATATATATATATATATATATCGAAATCCTATCCAAAATGACGTACATCGATATTTCCTCACATGTAATTGTGCGTCACAATAAGTTCACGTTTGATGTAGGTATGAACTCACAGGTATCAATAAATATGAAGTGAGTCTTTGTAGAAATCTTCTGTAGTATCCTGTTAGACTGATGAGTTATTTGGAAGAATTATTCAATTTTGCATAAAGTAGTCTATTGACTTAAATCTTCTCACTATGATCTGCTACGAAAAGAAACTTGATTTTTGGACATTTGGAAAGAATCAGATATGTAAACAAGGTAGGAAAATGTGAATTATTGGATTGTAACCCAGTAGCTAAATATTATTGTGTGCTCGCTGTGAGACCAGATAGTTATGCGTGTACACTGTTAGCGAATCTTAAATAAGGATGAAACACTTGTCTAGTGCTGTAAGGATTTTAGTGGCTCTGCGATTGATATTAGTTCAGAGTGATTACAACCACCTGAATAAAATTGGTAGTCAATAATAACTGAAACTGGCTATCACTTTCCTTTATCTAAAGTCCCTTTTAAATTCGGTTCTTAATTGTAACCAAAATCACATATGGAGTTGTGGTTCAATGGTTTAGGGAGATGACTATTAGCAGTGGGACATGGGTTCGAACTGCGATTCACTTACGGAGGGTCGACCAGCAGCCAGGTACTATCCTATCACTAAACATCACACAGTAGGTGTGTGGCTCATTGCCTACTGCACAAATGTGTACAAAGTGACTGAGTGTGTTTTGTTTCGTAAATTATCAAAATATATTTCGTCATTAAAGTGTAAGAATTGTACGAAATTTGTTCGAAGTACTCTCTAGATAAAAGCTTTTTCTTCTGTCTGCCATTATTTCAACTCTCGAAGAAATAGTAGAAAAAATTATTATGAATTATTCAAAAAATATAATTGTGAAACGCACCTTATCCATTCGATCCTGTTCAACACCGAACTTCCCGCCATATCCGTAGGATGGTTTAGGTGCAATCTTTAATTTCGCTAGACGATCTGCCTGTTTTACTTCTTCTCTCAACGCGGCCATACTTTTAATGAATATAATTAAAAACACTAATCAGATAGATGAATCAAGGTAAAATGCCGCGCATACGCGCACTATTTCAACTTGACATAATTCACACCACCATATATGACAAAAGTGTATAAACTGAGAAAGGAGAAATAAAGTTAGTGGAAATGTTCAGACTTTCGACAATGACAAAGAGTGCATACAGCTGTGCGTTTCTAACCGATTTCGAGCCATGTCACGAAGAAATTTCAATCATTGATTCCTATTATCTCAAAGATACCAAGCTAGGTAGTCTACATTCCTGTATAGGACTTAGACCAATAGTCAAAGATTTTACGGAATGACGGCATTTTTTTAAGTTTCTCTGCCCCTCTAGTCTTTTTCCAACATGAATCTACTTCAACCGACACTACACAATGAAGCAATTAGTAACTAGGAGTACGTAACACAAGTCCACCCCCACTTGGGTCGATGAAAGTTCATAACCTCATTAACTGATTTTTGTCTAATACCTGAGACTCCCCACATAACTCCTGAGTTTATAACTTATTGGCAGCACGACACACGGTCCATGCTATGAAGACAACGGTGGTTGAACACCTTAAAGCTTCTCATATCTTTCACTGTCACTGGTTATGTTTCACAGCTATATGGTAGGCGAGAGCAACTGTAAAGCAGTAAACCCAACGCTTAAAAGATAATCGAATATCACGGCAGCCCTATAAATGGCCCAAGTTGGAGAAAGCCAGCATTTTGTATCCGTGCAGAGACTTTGTCGGTCACTGACAAACTATGACTGACTTAACTTCCTAAGAAGGTGAAGTGGTCAAACCATGCAACCACTTCACTCCATATTGTTAGACAAGGAGCCAATGTAGATAGGTCTTGGAGCAACAATCTGTATTTGGGTGGTGAGAAACGCATCCCGAACATTCTCAAATTATCATTACGTGTCCAGAAGACTGTGAGTCTTGTTAAGGTCTTCGGTTAGCATGACTATGTCATCTGCGTACTCAGGTTCCTCTGAAGAGTTCCTTGTGATAAGATAAATCCTTGCAAGGTCAGATGACGAGAGGAAAACTATGACAAAATTAAATAAAAATGGAAAGAGTTGACATCCTTGACGGACGCCACTTGATATACACAACTCACCATAGGCTCTAACAGACCGGCAAATGTTCGAGAATGGAGCTTTTAACAGGGTATTGTACTTACTCGGCTCCATTTTCAGCGGCAGACACTACTGTAAGACCTTTGGTTGACGGAATGGAACACAACCTTTACGTCAAAAATTACAGCCAGTGTCGGGGTGCCGGTAGGCCTGCCCGCGTTCCAAAAGTTGGCGGAGGATAAATATCTGATCGATGCACCTAAGACCGGGTGTGAAACTCGCCTAGGATTCTCAGGTTTTCTGTTTCAGATCTCCAGTTAGGCGTCTAACGATCACAGATTCCAAAACCTTAGACACTGTTCGTCGGACTGATTTGTCTGTAGTCACCACAAGAGGATTTCTATACTTTGTTGACTGAGACCAGCCAGGGGATGCGTATGTGATTCATATGATAGCTAACTTCTTAGTTAATCTAACCAATAATCAACCACCGCTGTCTTTAAATACCTCCGGAATTGGCCCATCTGGCTCTGCTTTCCTCCTTAGTTTCAGGTTACCTACAACCTTTTCTACTTCCATAAGGGTTGAAGGCTTATTTCCGTGCTCGATTCAGGATCTGACTGTGTAGCCGGCAACGGAATACTAGCTGCAGGCTAGTCGGAATGTCCCTCAGTGTTTTGCCCATCATTCCCATCACTTCTGACGCGAGTAGATCCCAGACCCATCCATTTTCCGATATGTCCTCACTTACTATGGACTTTTATGCCCTAGTTTCCTTGATAATTCTAAACAGCTATCTACTTTTGTCTGTCACATTTATCTTTTCCATCTATTTAGCTTTCGCTAACCATTCCTGCTCACAATCATTAAGTAGACTTCTCTTCAGTCTACGTTTGAGTTGCTCCTACTCTTCTTTGTACTCACAGCCTGCAGGAATGCGCTCATACGCACGCATTAATTCAGAAGGAACTGCTGATATTTACCGTTTTTAACTACTTTCTGAGAGTCGGTTATGGTCTTTAATGCTGTTTCGAAGGCAGACTGGGGACGGTATCAAACTCCTTCGGGATGAGAGACGTTATGTTGAAGGTAGCTTTAGTATTTTCATCACCCAGCTGCGCTCGAAAAGACTTTTTGCTGTAGTTTTCCTGCGCCTATTAACGTACAGACATACGCAAGCTCAGACCAATGTGTGATCACTGCTCAAACGCATGCTCCAGAAGGAGCGGTAGTCTTCCACCGAGTCTCTCTCGCGATAACTGATAGTAATACGACTTATCCGTGTTCGCCGTTGGGGTCGATGGACACCTCTCCTTATGTATGAAGATCGTGCTGGTCAGATACAGGTGGTGGTGGTTATCTGAGCACAATTGTCGGAGGCGATCACCATTATCTCTCCGTTGGGCTGGGATTTTGAAAATTCCATTTCAGTGCCCTTCAGACGGAAGTAGCCAACCCACTTACCCATTGAAATCCTCAGCTAAAACAACCATGTCTAAGTATTTGGATTTCGGAAGCAGACTAGACAGTTTTCGGTAGAACTCATCTTTCACGTCATCCGAACTACAGTTAGTGGGTGCATAGCATAAATTACAAAGGAACGATGGTGAATTTTATTACTCTTTTTAGTCCTCATTGTGCCATTCAGTCATAAAATGTACGAGCGACTGTCAGCCGGGACTTAATCGGGCAGTGCACTTTCTGCCTTAAGGTTTAATGCTATACCTACACTTGCAAGACTGAGAGAACTAGTCATCGAATATCTAGAAACTCAAGCATTGAGTTTTGCAGATCCATTATTCTGACTGCTTGAGGTTAAGGGAAAAACCTCACAAGATTTCTCTATGTCTCACAAACACAGAGTATGTTCATGGCTTGATACGATAGAATTTTGGATGACGAGGCTTGTTATTCGATTTGATGGAGGAAGTTAACACAAAAAACTCCAATATAAGGTTTGAAATGGGGTTTCAGGAGACCAGAAAAGCTGTTCCGTGAACTCAAATCGTTATCGAAAGCTGCAGAATTAGAAGAAATTAATGATAACAGGAATACTGACCGAGAGATGTGAGGAAAGACTAGAAGACGAAGGTGTAGAAGGTTGGTAACAATCTGGTGGAAACTGAGTGCTAACAGAGTTGTGAGGACGGTTGACACTTTCCGGCTGCCCTCGCCGTGGAACAATACGTTTTTGAGGCATCTGAAAGATAAATTCGGTTCGTATTAGTAGTTGGCAACCGAAAGACCGATGGAAAATCTGCTCGAAGGTGACTACACACGGTGTTTTCGAAAGTTTGAGGTTTACCTCCCATCGATTTAAATCCAGTTAGAAAAAAATACCACCGTTACCGGAATACTACAGGGTAGGAGGGGGTGAGCTAATTTTGGGGCCGACCTTTTCTAACCTCCTTTTACCATAAGGAAGGCAACATCAGCATGATTCTGTTGGTCATCAGTGGGAAAGACTTTATTTCTGTCGACCAACTTCAGTCAGCAGCCTGACTTCTCCCTCGGGCCCTCATTATAGTGTTGTAATTTACGCTGCGACGGTAACTGAACTTCATTTTGCCCCTCTCCAACTTACTTTACTGGTATAATAGGACCTGGGGGCAACAAGTGTTTCAGCCAGTATAGCTCACTGAGTTACTGTGATATGCAAAATCAACTACCACGTCAAGGTAGCAGCTATCAGTCACGATACATTTAGTCGAAAGTCCCTTCCATATTAGATTTGTTTATTTGATGTATATGGCACAGTGAAACAATATAATCTACTTGATGACGTTTCGAGAATAAATTACTGCTCATAATCATATCAATGTAATCACACCACTTTCGACATCTGGTTTTCATAGTCCTGTCACATTATATTCCTTTTTTTATTGGTAGTAAGATTTGCCATACCTTTTATGTTAGTTTGTTTATTTATTAGAGTACAAACATGGTACAGCAAGGGCACCAAGAAATGCGCCGCACAAAATAGTATAACAAAATTATGAAGACCTAAAGCGAAGGGAAGTGGATAAATAAGAAAGAAAAAAATAAGAATAGCATGATTAAAGGGATAGTCCAGTAAGATACATTAAAAACAAAACATTCATTACTTTTCAGCAGCAGAAGATAGGAGGAAGCTACAGTGTATCACCATCACTGGTTTCGATTTTGAGCCATATCTGATAACGTCTCAAGTCACTGAGTTGCGTGGATTCTCGGACCCTATCCAATATGTCATGATGCATCAACAGATCCTAACCCGATACAACTACCCTTCATCCCATGGCGCCACGTTATACACTAACCACACCTTTGCTTCTTTCATCCAGTCCCATGGCTAGCAAACGGTATGGAAGAAGTTGGGATGACACGCGTAACACATGTCCAAACCACCGAAGACGATGTTTTCAGATAACTTCACTTATTGAACGACGACCTCCATGATACCCAAACACACGCTATCGTACCTTAGAATTACTGACATGGTGTTGCCAATGGATACGACCAATCCTACGGAGACAACGATGGTCGAACACACAGAGTCGTCGTACATCTTCAGCTCGGAAAGGCCAGGTTTCACTGGAGTAGAGTAGAACTGCTCACACCTAAGCATTGAAAACAAAACCTTTTACGGTCAGACTAACGTCGCGACGGTGCCAAAGCTGGTCCATATTGGCGTGTGCCACTCTGGATTTTGATATGTGGTTGGGAATTTCATCACACCTCCACCAGCACTCACACAGCTACCTAGATAAACAAACGTTTCGACTACTTCCAACGGCTCACCACCATGGGTGCGCGCAGGTAAAGGCTCCTGTCAATCTTGCGACAGTACTTTGCAATTCAGTGGTGCAAAGCACATATTATACTTACGGACACTAATCACCAACTGATTAAGTGCGATTTGAATA